CAATCCCTAAATAACCTCGTTTTCGAGACGCTGCAATAATTACAGGCTCGCAACTTTGACGATCATCGATATTTATCACGTCGATGTATCGCGTGAAATCTTCGACGGGGACGATTAATGGACGAAAGTCGTCGAAGTTGATCCGATCGTGTATCGCGTAACTCGTAAATGAAAAGGAAGGAAAGAAGAGAAGAGCAAGTGCAAATTGGTTATTTATTTTATTTTGATGAATTTTATAATGATTCGTCGCGAGATACGAGTCCTTTTGTTTTCTTTTTTTTTTTTTTTTTTTTTGTTGAATAATGTCTGGAATTTATGAACGACGTATTGGAAAATTATGGAAAGAGTTCTTCTGTAAGAAAAAAGGTAGTGAAATTTTTTGAAATGGATACGAATTTTAGCTGGAGCACCTGCCAGTGCTCAATCTCTTCTGAACAGATAAAGTGGATTGAAGCAGGATTGAATAGAGACCGCAAGAGGTGTATAGACAGTCTGCAAAGGCCTCTATTTCGATCAAAAAAAAACACGAGTGGTGTTTGGATAGTTTGGAAAACAGGATTAAATCGAGTTACGATTAAACAAATTAAAAACATTCGCCTCGTAAAACATTCCACTTGTGTAAATTTTTGTTAAAAGCCCGTTTTCGTAAAAATTAATTTTACTCAAAGAATTATATTCGTTGGTTGAAACTCTTAGTAATTGTAACAATTTAAACCTTTCGAATGATTCTATGAATAATCTTTTATAATAGGAGAAGAATTTTCCACTTGAAACGATTAGATTAGAATCGAAGATGGAAGAGTAAAAAAAAAAATTCTGTACCGATAAAATTGTACAGAAGGATTAAAAACGTAAATCGCGTTTGAACTTTGTGAAAACTCGACGTAAGGTAGCGATTTGTTGAAGTTTCTCCCTTCGATTGAAATTTAAACAGAAGAGAAAATTTTAACAGTTGAACAAATTTCATCTATATTCCATTCTTCTTCTTCTTTTTTTTTTCTTTTTTTTCTTTTTTTTTTTCTTTTTTTTTTTTTCTTTCGGTACATTCGTTCGACGTTTAATTAATTCTGCGTTCGATTAATTGAAATAATGATGTTTGCATTACGTAAAATCGTTCACAGAGGGGGAGGGGGGAATTAATTATGCGCGTTACAGTCGAATTAATTGTGTTGTATAATGAGTAACGATTTACGGTATGAATAAATCATTATTGATATTAAAAGGGCGCGGAATTATCAACTTTCGTCCTGTCAGTATTTGTCTTCGTTTCATTAAGTGAATATCCTATTGAGAATCGTAATCGCGATATTATCGTTCACAGTCAGGCTTCAATCGTACGATGTCTCCTAATCTAGTATAAGCTATTCGAAACACTTTTCGTATCAAACAATTAATCTTTCGATATATGACTCGTCGATATCACGTTTCAATAATTTTGCATTACAATAATTTTCACGTCACACTTCTCTTTCGAAAATTGTACGATTGCAATAGAATTGCGAATAGAAATCGAGTATCTCTGCTTGGCGGAAAGAGTGAATCTAGGGGCACGCATCGAATCGAAATTATTACTATTATTTTTTTTTTTTTAATCCATCTGAGGAGAATTTCAATTTTTTTCCTCTGACCGCATATTGAACAAACCAATATATATATATATATATATATAAACGCGAAACCAATGAAATTTCATATCAATTTATATCGTTCACAAATGATTTTCAAATGTATGCGTCAAAACGGGGTATCTCATCCAGAGAACAACTAGAACAAATTTTATTTAAAATAAACGCGAGAAAATTCGAAATCACGAAAAAATTCGTTTCAATTTGTGTTTTGAATTTGTATAAAAAAGATTAACTTTAAACGAAAGAACAAAACGTATTACATGTTCCAACGAACTTCACCTTTTCTTCTTTTCTTTTTTTTTCCTTCTTTCAAAGATTCGAATCAAAGAATCGCCCGCAAATAAAGATTTTAATATTTTTCATTCGCGTCTTCTGCCGTCGAAAATAAAATTCCTGCGTGGAACTGCATCTCAAAAAAAAAAAAAAAAAAAAAAAAAAAAAAAAAAAAAAAAAAAAAAAAAAACAAATTGCACTTTGTCGAAGCGTTCAGAGCCCTCGTGATCCCTGCGAAACTCAATTTTTCACATCAACACCCGTTCTTCTTTTTTTTTTTTCCCCTTCCACGAAACTCCTCGATTTATCGAGGACGAGAATCGAGTCACGGCCTAATCATTACCCTTCATTGATCCCCTCGCGCTCGATCGGTCGTAATAGGCGATCTAAATTCAATTTTGCATCGCTTGCAACAATGCACACAATTCGTATATTCGTTCCATTCATTGTTGGGGATTCTTCGTTTTCGATCTTTTCCTCCCATTTAATAAGATCGAAACAAAGGGAGGCACGATATATATATATATATACATATATATCTCGTTTGAACGGCCCCATCCCATTGTCAGCCACCGTTACAGAGGATCCACCAGACACCAGATTTCCACCCTCCAATCTCGCAGGATCTCTCAGCCTAATCTCCTCGCGCTTTAATATACTCGCGATTATGCGCCATCTCGCGTAAAACTTGGCGAACTATATACATTGGAGAACAGAGGTGGAAGACTTTCTGAAAAGGGCATTGTTTCGTATTCAATGCATGGATCTTGTAAAGTTATATTTTCNGGATTAGTTTCGTTTTTTACCGAAAAATTTCGATAAATTTCGTAGATATCTATATATATATATATATATAGAAAATTTGATAGAAGGATATTTTAGGATTAGTTTCGTTTTTTACCGAAAAATTTCGATAAATTTCGTAGATATCTCATTTTCATTCGAAGATTATGCACGTAATGTATAGCTCGTACAAGAGAAATTTCATTTTCCCTTGCGATTAACGAGAATTGATTTCAATCCGCTAACAGAGCTGTTTCCCACAGTGGGTAGTTTCTCAAGACAGATAATCTCCAGCTGCTCGAGGAGGAATTTCCACCATTAAGTCTTTCGACGTTCGAAAGGGAAAAAAGAAGAGAAGCGGAAGAAGACTAATTCTCGAACGGACCCCTACGTCCGACCATACACGATTCCCTACCACTCGCTCGACACGTACCCACCCATCCTGACCCACTTGCGAGAACAAACACGCGGGTTTTTCTTTTTTCTTTGCCTCGTCAATAGCCGTTCATTCTCGCCTCCCATTCTAAATTATTCTTCGCGATTAATTTAAAGCCTATACGTAACGCTTCCATCCTTCGTGGTCGGTTTATTAATTTTCGTGAAATTATTCGCATCTGTTGTCTTCAAGACGAACGAAAGATCGTTAACCCTTTGCGCTCTAACAGTGATTCTTCATCACCAGTTAAATTAATTGAGTTAATTGGATCGATGCGGCAACTTGAACGGCGACAATATTTATTTATGTTTGATTTTTTTACAATATTCATAAATAGATTTCTAAGCTCTTCTCTTTTTTTTAATCTTATGAGGTATAGAATAATATATTTTTAAATGGCTAGATTTTTTATCTCAAATTAGACTATGATCGTGAGTCGAACGACATCTTCGGAAATAGAAATATTATTTTCAAAGTGTTTTGAGATTTGTAAGCATGGAATACGGTAATGAAATTAGTTTAAGCGAAGATGAGTTTGATTTTTCGTTATTGAACGACAAAATTATTTCTATAAAAGAAATTAACGATAGAGAAAGCAATGATGAACATAGAGATGAAATAAGAGGTATAAGAAGGCGAAAAATAAGAATAATAGATAGTGAATGTGAAAGCAATAGTTGAAGCGAAGATATCGCAGAAGACAAGGAAAATTCTGAATGGATAACACGCATAGAATCGGAAAATATATCGCGAAGAATATATCTTCGAATATAAATGAACCATTAGATCTTTTTAAACTATTTTTCACCGATGAACTTATTAATGAAATAATGCCCAAAACGAATAATTATATAAAAAACTTATAAGGAAAAGTACTATTGCTCTACTTGCCCTGACAAACCGAGGATGCATCTTGGTAATTGCTTCATAAAATATCACACAATAATATAAATTTTAATATTCGATAAATTTTGTTTCTTTATATGTAAAGATACATAAAATATTAAAATATAAAAGTTTTATGCGTTAACTTGTGCGTGAAATCGCTTACAAATTCGCTATAAGAAATTCCATCGAAGACCTGGAATGCAAAGAGTTAAAAAACAGAGAAAAGAGAGAGAGAGAAGAAATTGTAATAATTTTCGCGTTGAAAACTGTTGTTAGATTCGAGTGGTGACAGAGTAACACGAGCTAGATAAGAAGGCGCGGATGATTAAAAGCGATACGTTACGTGACTCGAGCTCGACTCCACGAGTGCTTCAGCGAGAAGAGAGCGGCTGAGTGCAGGCTCCGTATATATACATATATATACATATATATTGACATTACGCCGCGTGCAGCAACCGAACCAGAGGATCTTTGTTTAATCCGACCCGAGCTGTTTATTTATGCGCGCACGAGTGTCTTCGGTATGCGATGAAAGGATTATCGCGACGTATACGTTATAATTGCACGCCAAATCTGTCAGCAGACAGTGATGCCTCTACGCGTTCGTTACCCTTTGTTTGTTTGTCCCCGCATTCGAGCGGGGACAAAGATAGCGATACTTTACCCGATCCTCCTCGATATTTCTATTCGATTATTATTATTTTTTTCATCGATTCACGTTTCCACGTTTGATTCGAAACTTGAGCTGTGATAAATCGTAAGGTTGTCATCTGCGTTGATTCTACATCTACGAATTGTTTCAGAGATTGGATTCTGATTAATTATAGATTTAATGATAATGATTTTGGATCGTGGATAGGTTCGCAATTTGTTTAAATTTTGTACTTCGTTGGGCAGTTTTTAATACGTTTTAATTTAATGGAAAAAATTTGTTTTAATTTTCGAGCAGGAGTAATGAAAGTAATGAAACAAGGAAAATTTGGAATACTCACCAATCGAGGGTGGCCTTCGCAACGTACTGCACCTGGTTCTCCCTATCCGGATGATAATGACGATCATTAATAGGGACCACAGAGTGACACACGAGACGGGTCTCCTGTCGATTGAGAATCGTTAGATTGTAAGGCGATGCCAGGAGGCGAGATGCTACCGGATCCAGGGCTAACCATAATTTATTGTCCACAACCCAAGATGGATACGTGCATCGCTCGGTTGAATTTTCTGGAAAAGAAGGGAAGAGATCCAATGTCGCTGGCATTGAATTAAAAAATTTGAATTAAAAAAAAAGGAAAGGAAAAAAATTGTTCACAAATTTTAGAAATATTTTGCATGCATCATGTCGATAATAATACGTAAAAAATTTGCAAAAATTTTGGTACAATTCTCGATACATATTTTCATTCGAAGGATGAGAAAGGAGAAATCAGACGGGACTAATTTCGATCGTAATTTAGCCAGACACTCGTAGGACACCATGTCCCTAGAGATATCGATCGCTCTTCATCGGAGACCTCCTGTTATATGCCGCATACTTCGCTAATGCACTCCCGTGCATTTTTAACGGTCCATTAAGTCGTACACAGTGATTGATCGCAGTGAGTGGCGAGCTATCGACGCGATAACTGTTTCCAGGCGATGAGGAGCCGTTTATACGGAATCAATTGCGTTTCATTCTCTCCCATCTTCTACCTTGTTCCTCTTATTTCGCTCTTTTTTTTTTTTTTTTAAATTTCCTTTAATCCGAAGGGATATTATTATTTCGTGTATTATATGTGTATATATATATATATATATTTTCAAAAAGATCCTCTTCATTTTTAATACGCAGTGTTACAGTTACAGTTATAATATTTTCATTCGCATTTCCATTTATTCGACGTCCAATATTGTAAAAAAAAGAAAAGAAAAGAAAACAAAGTGAGTCTTAAAACGTCATGTTTCTTTCGTCTACACCGATTTACTTTCAAGTTTCAATATTGCTCCACGATCGTATTTACGATCGAAACATTTCCCTTTTTATTCCCTCTCGAATTCATTTCGTTCTCCTTCGGCGGGGATTGCGATTCGATGCAAATCAACGATCGTGTCCGACCGCCGCTCGAAGAGCTCGACGAGCAAAAAAAGAAAAAAAAAAAAAAGGAGAAAAAGAAAAGAAAAGAGAAAAATCGTTCGCGTTGCCACGAAGTGGTGAACTTCGAGGTTGGTATCGATATACGTACCTACGTACGCTTAAAGTATGATGGCCACGAGGATCGTTTTTTTTTTTTTTTTATATAAAAGAGAAGAAGAAAATAAAAACAAAACCTCCTTCCATTTCGAGGAAAATAATAGGAGACAGGCTAAATTCACTTTGTCCCCGGGATTTACGTGTGCGGAATCGCAATAAAAATGTTAGACTCGCGCGAAGATAATGCGATTTTATGCTAATGGATTTATTGAAAACTCGATATACATAATTTGCATTTAGACCGAATGATGGCGATGGCTCTTTAATGGAAATGTGTTTCTTCTTTCCTTCTTTTTCTTTTTCTTTTTCTTTTGCGTAGAGCTTTTTAAAAAATCGTCTAATCCAATCTTTCCTATCGTTCAAAATTCTCCTGTCTTTTTTTTTTTTTTTTTTTTTTTCATTTTATCAATAATTCATCAATAACTCGAAAGCACATCGGTTAATAGATCGAACCTATCGAATTTTTCGATTATGAAAAATTGAAAATTTTTAATCAACAATCGAACGAATTCTTAATTAATTCGATCCATTCTCCACGGACGAAATCGCGACAAGGGGACAACGACAACGGATGTGGGTGGGGGAAAGGTGATCCCGTGGACTAATCTGCCTTCTGGAAAGTTTAAATGGAAACGCCGGGGAATGGGGTTAACGAAACACCAGGGCCAATGTTGCAACAGAGGCGTGGAAAAATTTGCTAAGCCGCTTAAACGCTCGAATCGTTCAGACCAAATTTCAGCATTTTTTTTTTCTTCTTCTTCTTCTTCTTAACGAAGTACGAATAAAAAAATTTATCATATTTGTATTAAAGGAATATATTGGAAATATAATTGTAAAGAAGTGAAGTAATCGTAAGAATTATTCGTACGAATAATTAATTGGCAAATATTTTCGAAAGGTATCCCGTTCTTCGATCTCGATGATTTTTTTCAATATTTTTGGTCATAAACTTATAAAAATCTAACCTAAAATTCAGTTATAAAATCAGAAACTAATTAAATTTTTACTCGACAATTTTTACATCAACTAACTTATCATTATTATTCTTAATTTTATCTGAAATTGAATAGAAACTTATTTATGAGTCAGTTTCTTAATTTGTCTTTACTTAACCTAACCTAAACAGTCTTGTTAATAATATAGTATTTAATTTAGTATTTTTTAATTTTTAGTATTTAATTATATTTATTTAGTTAATAATACAGTATTGTTAATAATATTTTAAACGAACGATTCGATCGTCGTAAGTAAAATTTTCAAAAGTATTCGAAACGATTCTTCTCGAAAATGATGATCCTTTATTAAAAAGGTGATCAAGATCGAAAATTGATACCTCTTTCTTTTTTTTTTTTTTTTTTTAAATAATTACCAAATTATATCATCTATAAGAAAATTTAATTGGCTCGTTAATAATCAATAAGCGAAAATAATCGAGGCCATTCTGTATTTTATCCTTCATCCGATGTGAAAATATTATAATATCGCATTCGTATTCGGTGTTGTGCGCGGATGCATGCGTGAATGTGTGTACGCGTGTATTAGCTTTATCGTTGAGAAAACATCTGGAAATAAATCCCGGTCGGTGGCAGGATAGCGCAATCAGTCATGTACATATCCAGGGAATCCAACTGAACGCGGTTTACCACAAAGCCAACAACAAGATCATTTCCATCTGCTACCACTGTCTACTCGTATTCGCGATTATAGCCTCGCAGGATGGAAGGAGCGACGTATTTAAACCGAAACTGGAGCAACGAAGGGAACAAATCGATGGATGATGATGATGATGATGATGATGATCCGTTTCTGGCCAGAGATTGATGAATTAAAATGACGACTAGGGCGACTAGGTAATGATGAAATATCAGAAATTCGAATTACGAATTTACGGGTATATTTACAATGTTGATTATTCCTCTTTTTTCTCCTTTTCATTATCATCGATAACGTTATACATAAATTATTGTGCTTTCGTGAATTCTATAATTGAACGGGGGAAAAAGGTGAACGATTAATTTCAATAGGATGAAACGATGATTCAAATTGCATTTTTTCATAGAAGAAGATTTTTCATAGAAGAAAAATTATTCAAAAATGATATTTTGATGGGGAATGGGGGAACTTATGGTGAAAAGTTAAATTTTAGTTTTTAATTGAAAAAATACTGCCTGTTTTTTTAATGGTTTTTTTTTTTCATAAGGATAAGTGCACGACTAAGTACTTTAATAGTTCTGGTAACTTTGAAGTTTCAAACAGGATTAAACTTAATTTTTGTGGTTAAGCGAAAGGATACCGATATCTTCTTTTGATGCTTTTTTAATCCTTAAGAAATCGATCAGAAACTAGTATTGAAATAGTAGGCCGAATAACATTTCAAATGAGATTAAATATAATTTTTTACTAGCTATTAGTAGCGATTAAAAAAAAAGCTTACTTCATCACAATTAAATAATCTATTGATATATATTTTTTTTACTAATGTTTGATATCACCAAATGAGAAATAGTATCTCCAAATTTATTTGCCTTATCCTCCAAATATCACAATACATACTATACTTTGATTGAACATTTATTTATAATTTTATTTTTATTCTTAAGAAATCGATCACAAACTATTTCAATAGTCCGAATAACACTCGAATTTTAAATGAGATTAAATATAATTTTTCAAAATAAAATTTTATCAAATTTGCCAAGATATTTGCCTTATTTGAATATCACAATGCCTACTATTTTGAACATTTATTTATAATTTTATTTTTATTCTTAAGAAATCGATCACAAATTATTTCAATAGTCCGAATAATACTCGAATTTTAAATGAGATTAAATATAATTTTTCAAAACAAAATTTTACCAAATTTGCCAAGATATTTGCTTTATTCGAATATCACAATGCCTACTATACTTTGAACATTTATTTATAATTTTATTTTTATTCTTAAGAAATCGATCACAAACTATTTCAATAGTCTGAATAATATTCGAGTTTCAAATGAGATTAAATATAATTAAATATAATTTTTCAGTAACTATTAATAATGACTAAGAAAAATTTTGTTTAAAAACATCACATTATTATATCATAATTAATAAAATAATCTATTAATATTTATCAAATTTGCCAAGATATTTGCCTTATTCGAATATCACAATGCCTACTATACTTTGAACATTTATTTATAATTTTATTTTCAATCCTTAAGAAATCGATCACAAACTATTTCAATAGTCCGAATAATACTCGAATTTCAAATGAGATTAAATATAATTTTTCAAAATAAAATTTTATCAAATTTGCCAAGATATTTGCCTTATTCGAATATCATAATGTCTACTATACTTTGAACATTTATAATTTTATTTTTAAATAATTTTTCAGTAACTATTAATAATGACTAAGAAAAATTTTGTTTAAAAGCATCATATTATTATATCATAATTAATAAAATAATCTATTAATATTTACCAAATTTGCCAAGATATTTGCCTTATTCGAATATCACAATGCCTACTATACTTTGAACATTTATTTATAATTTTATTTTTATTCTTAAGAAATCGATCACAAACTATTTCAATAGTCCGAATAACACTCGAATTTTAAATGAGATTAAATATAATTTTTCAAAATAAAATTTTACCAAATTTGCCAAGATATTTGCTTTATTCGAATATCACAATGCCTACTATACTTTGAACATTTATTTATAATTTTATTTTCAATCCTTAAGAAATCGATCACAAATTATTTTAGTAGTCTGAATAATATTCGAGTTTCAAATGAGATTAAACATAATTAAATATAATTTTTCAGTAACTGTTAATAATGACTAAGAAAAATTTTGTTTAAAAGCATCACATTATTATATCATAATTAATAAAATAATCTATTAATATTTACCAAATTTGCCAAGATATTTGCCATATTCGAATATCACAATGCGTACTATACTTTGAACATTTATTTATAATTTTATTTTTAATCCTTAAAAAGTCGATCGCAAATTATTTCAGTAACCCAAATAATATTCGAGTTTCAAATAAGAATAAATATTATAAATAATTTTTCAGTAGTATTACTAATAGCAACTAAAAAGAAACTTACTTAAGAGGATCACATTATTTAAATATCATCAAATAAATTAATCACAAACAGTATCACCATAACTTTGCCAAAATATTTGCCTTCTCCTCCGAATATCACAACTTTGATAACATACCATATTTTAAACATTTATTTAAAATTTTTATACGTATCACTGTGTACAATTCCGTTTAAAATTTCACAAATCCATCCGCACAAATCCATAAAGATTCGAAACGCGGATTCAGAAACACCAATCTGATCCGCCAATCTGGTCAGCCGCGTCGGCGGAATCCGATATCCAAGCGGGGAGGTGGAAGAGGAGGAGGAGGAGGAGGAGGGGGAACTTTTAACCATTTAACAAGAATCCGCGGTAAAATTCCACGGTCCGATCAAAGATTAACCATCGTACAAAATCAATCCCAAGAATGTTTGAGGCTTGATCGTGCCTCGCCTCAATTTGGTTAACCGCGGCTACACCAGGCCAGAATCATCGCAATCTGCCAAGGCTACGTGCAGCTATGCGATACTATGGAATACCCCAAGTAGCTCACGTCCGACCACCGTTCACTGTGCCGATAGCACGCGGCCCAAGAATCCGATCCGGTGTCTATGGACATCCTCATAGTTTACGTTCTTCGAGCCTGCCGCTATTAGGTGCTCGCGGTTTTCCTCGTGCCAAGACGCACGAGGACCAAAGTCGGTTAACGATAATGTCAAATTGCTTCCCCTTCGTGCCAACAATTTATCCGTCCGTGAATCCTGGATTCATCGGATATCGATGGTGCGAGCAAGATTTCTTCCTTTCTTTTCTTCTTTTTTTAATCGATTTATATTGGGAATAAAAACTGGTGCATTTAAAAATGTGCTAGACGAGGAGGACGTCAAATATGTGTTCAGATTGATTCGGTGAATTCGGGATGGGACAAGTATGAGTTTTAGGATTATTTTTCGGTAATTTTACGAATTTTACGAGATTCTACTCACTCTGTTTCATTTTGAACGTCTTGGCAGCCTCCTTAACGCTGATCAATCCCGTGCAAGAGGCATCCTCGCTCTGCGCCAAATTCCACGAATTGTTCGAAGTTTGCTCGTAGATGAAGCATCTGTAGCTGTCCTCGTCGCTGGTTTTCCGGGGGGCGTGCAACCTTGCCACGAGGTTGTGCGTGCTGCTCTCCTTCCACGTGGCTAGACACTCCAACTCCACGTCTGGGACGGAAAAACGGGGGAAAAAATTAAATATCGAACCCCCCCTCCTTCCCTTTCCCTGTCCGTTCAAATCGACTCGAAAAAATCCGTTTCGAATTTTTGGAATATATTTTCGATACGACGGTGAATCGGTGGTGGTTGAAAAAAAAAAAAAAAGGAGAAAAAAATCTCGATATCAATCGTGAAAAATTCCATCATCCCACCCCTCCATCGCGTAAATCCTCCACGGCCGCCATTAGCCATCCCCAATTACACTGCGACGTATAACGATTCCATTTACGAGCAAGGCTAAATCGTCCGCGGCGAGAATTATGGACGGAAATATTCTAACCGTTAATAAACCGCACCGCCACCACGTGGAATGAATTATATACCACGGGGCGCGTTTTCGCCCTGTATAATAATCGGTGAAAATCGGTCGGTGCGGGGCGATACAGCGGCGATACAAACAGTAATTGACAGAGCTGTTAATCATTTGGTGGAAGTTCTATTGACTGTCCCAGATTCTCTCCCCTGTGTGTCGTGTTAATTAACGTCACCGCTCGCCCACTGTGTCGCCCGACGCATCGAGAAAAATTACTCTTCGATCTCTTATAATGGAAAAATATACATCGGTATATATTTCTCTAATATATATATATATATATATTTCGAAATTGTTTCTGTTTTAAATAAATATCTCTTTCGTAAAAAGAGCGTAAAAAGAAATAGTCTAACACTTTTACGATATAATTTCTAATAATTTTAATACGTATAATTTTTTTTTTAGTTTGGCGATAAGAATAAGGAGAGTGAGAAGTACTTACCAACGCTCTCAGAGGACAAGACGTTGGCACACGCTTGATAGCGAAAAAGTAATCGCGATTCTTGGGTGCACGTCTCCGCGGCTGACAAAGGAGATTTACACTCCGCTTCCCCGTGGCTGTACGTGAATTCCAGGGGTCCCTTGAACGGGCACGGCATCGGTGCTGCCCCCGTGCGGAATAGGGAAATTAATATGGCGTCGCTGGTCAAATCGCCGCATATCGAAGGGAGCGTAGGTTTCGACGATCCCGTGATACACCAGGCTGGAAAAGAATTAGTGGAATCCGGATTAACCGAATCCGGAAGAGAGGAGAATGAAAAAAAAAAAAAAAAAAAAAAAAAAAATTATGGACGAACGAAACGAAACGTACTCTCTTTGTATTGAAGGACGTTCGGATGCTTCATGTGCATGACGATGCAGCGATAACAATTTTCCATTCTGAAACAAAAATCGATCGGAAATAATGTAGGATGTCGAGCCACGTTACAAATTCGATAAATAAATAAATAAATAAATAAATAAATAAATAAATTTCATTCCAAAATATGGCTATCGCTTCCGCGAAATAAATTAGTCGATTAATTTATACGCGTTTCAATCGTACCTAATTAAAAATCTTAATCAACATTAATAACGTACGAGAAAGAAAAATAAGTAAAATTTTACAGGAAAAAATTTGAAAAAGGGAAATCTTGGAAATCACTTAGCTTCGGAGCAAAGAAGCGAAAGATCGTTCTCAAACATCGACGGTGAAGAAAAAAAAAAAAAAAAAAAAAAAAAGGAAAAAAGGAAAATTCTTGATGGAAGAAGAGGGGTGCCATTGGTATAAGGAAGGACTGTGGAAATGGCAGCACACGCTTGTACACACGCAATTCCAAGGCATTTGTACACGCTGGAAAGACAAACTCCGAGGCGCAATAGAGACAGGCGGTGGTTACTATGGAGGGGGGAGGGGAGGAAGGGTGGGTGAGTGGACCAAGAGGGGCAAGTAGTATCGCGTAGCTACTTAAAACTTTTCGAGCTTGTCTTGTGTCCCTACTAGTTGCCACCTTGCTTACTTAGCTCCGCTCTGCAACTTCTACCTTCGACTATAGTCTCCACCTCTTCCTGCTCCCCCCCTCGCTTCCTGTCTCGCCCATCCCCCTGTCACCCCACGCTGGGCTTCTTCCTCGCTCGCTCAGAGGACGAAGTTTACCTTCGTTTCTGGCTATCTCACGTACTTCTTGGCAAACGTAGACGTTTTCCTTTTTCTTCTTTTTTTCTTTCTTTCTTTCTTTTTTTTTTCTTTCTTTTTTCTTTACGTGGAAATTGCTCGGTGATTGATTCTTGGCTACCCTTCGGTCGGGGAAAGCGTGGTTTCATTGTTTGTGGATCGCGAAGCATTTAATTTCATTGTTTGCTGGAGTTTGTTGGAGATGGTTCGAGCATTCTTTTTCTTTTCTTATATATTTGTTAAGAGGAAAATTAAGATGCGTTTTAGAATAGATTATAGAGAGATTAGAATTAGAATAGACATTATAGAATATATTATAGATTGGGCTAGATTTTATTGTGAGTTAATCGTTTTGAAATCAAAATGAAAATTTCTTTGTTTTATCTCGTTTAGATTCACGTACAGAGTATTGTTCTTCGATGATCCGTTATAATCATATTCCATTTCCAAATTTCTATAACATCTTTCCAACGATCCACGATCTGAAGTAATTGCGTCAATTTCGAGTTATCGTTTATTATTAAATTACTTTATATTAATTTTGCTTGTCTTTTTGACATTAACGAATCACTATAATTCATCACCTAACCTAAATCCATAATAAAAACATTTACATCATTGCATTCTCTTTATTAAGATAAGACATAAACACGTGTAAAATCGCGAAATGAAACGAAACGAATGATTGATCCGAAGCATACGTCGTTTCAAAAATTCAAAATTCAAAAAAGCAACAAAAATAAAAAAAAATAAAAAATTCATTCGAGTTTTCTCACAGAAGAATTTCCTCGAATTTGTTCGAAACAAATGCAACTTTTCCCATTACTTTATCTTCCACCAAGGAACCTGCCATTCGTTTGTTCCCTTAACACGCATCGACGTCTGTTTATCGACAGTCGGTCGTCATTTAAGCACGAGATGGGTTCAAAGCGCGAGATCAATGCGAGCGGGCATAAAAGCAGACTCGAAAGACAAATATATGCGTGAAACGTGCACGCATCGACGGGTTCAGACGCTTCGAAATACGCGGATAGTTCTATTCGTACACTTCGAGCCTCGGTTCATGGTTCGTAAAAGAGACGTGTGCACGTTGATCTTTGACGTTTATAAATCGGTTCTTCCCGAGAATATCGTCCGCAGTCTTTCGATATACATAGATCTCTAGTCCCTTTTCTTCTTGGAAATTTATGTTTCGGGAGATTTGTCTTAGAATGTTGCAAAATAATTATTATTAAAATTACACGTTTATTATATTGTATTCGTAATTTTAATGAAGAGATTAAAAATAATAATATTTTCAAGCTTATATTCATTATGCTTTTGTTGGACGGTAAATAATTAGAAATAAAATTACAGAAATGGAATTGAAATAAAAAACTTGTTTCACGTTGGAATAATTATAATATGTGTATTCTGTAGATTTTTTAATATTTAATATTTTCCATAAATATCCATGTTTAATTATAATGTAAGAGAGAAGTTATCTTGAAGGTATTATAAAAGATTACAAATGAATTTAGATTTTTTAGAAGATTTATTATACAGAAGAATTGCTCGAAATTTCTTTTCCTTCTAGGAGAAAAAAAATAAATGAAACGAAACATATTCCTAACCTAACCTAATCTAATTCTTTCAATTCTACTTGGATGATAAATTTAAATGATTATAAATAAAATTATAAAAATGGAATTGAAATAAAAAACTTGTTTCACGTTGGAATAATTATAATATGTGTATTCTGTAGATTTTTTAATATTTAATATTTTCCATAAATATCCATGTTTAATTATAATGTAAGAGAGAAGTTATCTTGAAGGTATTATAAAAGATTACAAATGAATTTAGATTTTTTAGAAGATTTATTATACAGAAGAATTGCTCCAAATTTCTTTTCCTTCTAGGAAAAAAAAATAAATGAAACGAAACAGATATTCCTAACCTAACCTAATCTAATCCTTTCAATTCTACTTGGATGATAAATTTAAATGATTATAAATAAAATTACAGAAAATGGAATTGAAATAAAAAACCTGTTTCACCTTGGAATAATTATAATATGTATTCTAGTTTTTTTAACATTTGTATTTTCCATAAATATCCATTGTGTAATTATGATGTAAGAGAGATAAGTTATCTCAAAGATACTATATAAAATTGCAAATGAATTTAGATTTTCACTTTAGAAGATTTATCATTGTAAAGAACAAGAATTGCTCGAAATTTCTTTTTTCTTCTTTTTTCAGGAGAAAAAAAATAAATGAAACGAAACAAATATTCCTAATCTAACTTAATCTAATCCTTTAATTCCCTAATTCTGCTTAGATGACAAATTTAAATGATTATAAATAAAATTACAGAAATGGAATTGAAATAAAAAACCTGTTTCATCTTGTAATGATCTTGAAATATTCTGTATTTTTAATTATTTTCCAAAAATATATAAATATCCATTGTCTAATTACAATATAAGAGGTGTAAATTATTATAAAAGATCGCAAGATTTAATATTGTATTATTGTATTATTGCAAGTCTTAGATTTATTATTGTAGAAGATTTTAGAAGACTTTAGAAGATTTATTATTGTACAGAACAAAAATGCTGTTAAAAATTTTTTTTTAGGAGAAAGGATTAATCAAATGAAACAGATATTTCTAACCTAACCTAACCTTAATTCTACTGGAAAATAACCATACCAACGGATGAAAATTAAAAATTTTGTTCGACCGAAAAAAGGATTCGAAACTTAAATTTCGAAATTTTTAAATTTCTCTGACAGAATTTTCCAACGATTAATCCTTCGAAACGAGAAAGCAACCACTCTTGGCTTCGAAGAATGCAGAGAGCCCTTTGAGCTGACCCAATCGAAGAACACTCTGTTTGGAAGTTTTCTACTCCGCCCTGTACAAGCGGCCGATCTGCAATTCGAAAGTTGTCCAAGTTTGTATGCATGTCAACGAAGCCGCGAACACGGTATCCGAGAGAGCGGTTTCGCCCGCTCGTGATCGCATTTCGAGCAACTATCGCGCACTCCGGAAGCGGAGGGAGCGCTCTCTGCCCTTCAGCTCGCGAACCACAAACGGTTCCACGCCGCGAATGGATTCGAGCCGCTTTTGTCGACCCAACTTTTCTCCTTCCCCTTTCGATGTTTCACCCGTTTTCTTTTTTTTCTTTTTTTTTTTTTTTATGGAAAAGCCAACGAATTTTTGCACGAATTCTCGAATATGTGGCTACGATAGCTCGTGAAAAAAACCCTCGAATATTTTAAACGATGACGATGACACTCGAGAGAATCTAAAATTCTTCTGTATGAATTTCGATTGTAAATTTATATTCATGATTACGTGGAGAAGTTTATATAAATCGTTCTTAGTTGTTGATTAATTATTATAATTTCTGGTGAGATATTTGGACTCGTGTTCAAGTATTTTTCTGCGTTAATCTTCTTCAAAATAGTTAAGAAGTAATAAAAAAAAAAAAAAAAAGAAAAGAAGAGAGAAGTACCGTTGAAAGATGTCCAAATTAATATCAAGATTATGCAGAATATAAATCTCATTTACCTTAAAAGGAAGATATTAAACAAGTTCTTCTCTTTTTTTCTATTTTTCCATTATTTATAAAACAAGATGAGAAAATTAAAAGTAGTGAAGAAGATCAACGTTTCGATATTATTTATATCGGTGGACAGCGTCGAGAGGAAGTTCAATTTCAAGAAGGAAGAGGGGAATAGTAGAAAAATCCAACTCGTTAGCCCATAAACGCTTTCCGATCTGGCAGCTGCGACCCGTTGTTAGGATCGATTTCTACAACTTCCGGGATTATTGCCACGGCGATTCGGACGCTTTATTGTTTCTCGATGATCCCAAGAGTTTTGCGCCAGCAGTCCCTTAGAGCTTGATGCAACGTTTGTACCGTATCAAACGTGGCGTCGTCGAAGCGACGACTTTTACGAGTTCGATATCCTCCCAATGATGATTGTTATCGGCTTGTACCTCTGCCTGTTCACCCGAGAATCAATTGGGAAACACAATCGGAATAGTGTCGACGTATTTGAATGGAGGAAGAAGAAAAGAAGGACTCTATTATACGTGATGTTAATTTATTTAATCCATCGATCATTCAACATCCTCCAATGATAATTTTTATCGTTTTGCATTTTCCTTTCTAATCAAAATTAATTGAAAAAGACAAGTGAAATAGTATCTGATTTGAATGGAGGAAGAAGAA